GCCTCCTCTGAAGGTGGTCTGAGCCTCCTCTGAAGGTGGTCTGAGCCTCCTCTGAAGGTGGTCTGAGCCTCCTCTGAAGGGGGTCTGAGCCTCCTCTGAAGGGGGTCTGAGTCTCCTGTGAAGGGGGTCTGAGCCTCCTCTGAAGGGGGTCTGAGCCTCCTGTGAAGGTGGTCTGAGCCTCCTCTGAAAGGGGGTCTGAGCCTCCTCTGAAAGGGGGTCTGAGCCTCCTCTGAAGGTGGTCTGAGCCTCCTCTGAAGGGGGTCTGAGCCTCCTCTGAAGGGGGTCTGAGCCTCCTCTGAAGGGGGTCTGAGCCTCCTCTGGAGTGACCTCTGAAAGGGGGTCTGAGTCTCCTGTGAAGGTGGTCTGAGCCTCCTCTGAAGGTGGTCTGAGTCTCCTCTGAAGGGGGTCTGAGCCTCCTCTGAAGGGGGTCTGAGCCTCCTCTGAAGGGGGTCTGAGCCTCCTCTGAAGGGGGTCTGAGCCTCCTCTGAAAGGGGGTCTGAGCCTCCTCTGAAGGGGTCTGAGCCTCATCTGAAGGGGGTCTGAGTCTCCTGTGAAGGTGGTCTGAGCCTCCTCTGGAGTGACCTCTGAAAGGGGGTCTGAGCCTCCTGTGAAGGTGGTCTGAGCCTCCTCTGAAAGGGGGTCTGAGCCTCCACTGAAGAGTGTCTGAGTCTCCTCTGAAGGGGTCTGAGCCTCCTCTGAAGGGGGTCTGAGTCTCCTGTGAAGGTGGTCTGAGCCTCCTCTGGAGTGACCTCTGAAAGGGGGTCTGAGTCTCCTGTGAAGGTGGTCTGAGCCTCCTCTGGAGTGACCTCTGAAAGGTGGTCTGAGCCTCCTCTGAAGGTGGTCTGAGTCTCCTCTGAAAGGGGGTCTGAGTCTCCTCTGAAGTTGGTCTGAGCCTCCTCTGGAGTGACCTCTAAAGGTGGTCTGAGTCTCCTCTGAAGGTTGTCTGAGCCTCCTCTGAAGGTGGTCTGAGCCTCCTCTGGAGTGACCTCTGAAGGTGGTCTGAGTCTCCTGTGAAGGGGGTCTGAGCCTCCTCTGAAGTTGGTCTGAGCCTCCTCTGGAGTGACCTCTGAAAGGGGGTCTGAGCCTCCTCTGAAGGGGAGTCTGAGTCTCCTCTGAAGGTGGTCTGAGCCTCCACTGAAGAGGGTCTGAGTCTCCTGTAAAGGGGGTCTGAGTCTCCTCTGAAGGTGGTCTGAGTCTCCTCTGAAGGTGGTCTGAGTCTCCTCTGAAGGTGGTCTGAGTCTCCTCTGGAGTGACCTCTGAAGGGGAGTCTGAGCCTCCTCTGAAGGTGGTCTGAGTCTCCTCTGAAAGGGGGTCTGAGTCTCCTCTGAAGGTGGTCTAAGCCTCCACTGGAGTGACCTCTGAAGGTGGTCTGAGCCTCCTGTGAAGGTGGTCTGAGNAGCCTCCTCTGAAGGGGGTCTGAGCCTCCTCTGAAAGTGGTCTGAGTGTCCTCTGGAGTGACCTCTGAAGGTGGTCTGAGCCTCCTCTGGAGTGACCTCTGAAGGTGGTCTGAGTCTCCAGTGAAGGTGGTCTGAGCCTCCTCTGGAGTGACCTCTGAAGGTGGTCTGAGTCTCCTGTGAAGGTGGTCTGAGCCTCCTCTGGAGTGATCTCTGAAGGTGGTCTGAGCCTCCTCTGGAGTGACCTCTGAAGGGGGTCTGAGCCTCCTCTGGAGTGACCTCTGAAGGGGGTCTGAGCCTCTTCTGAAGGGGGTCTGAGTCTCCTGTGAAGGGGGTCTGAGC